GGGAAGCTGTAAATGTGCACAAGTGAGTGAGCTATTTGGGCAAGGACTTCCCAAGTGGTTTGCAGAAAGAAGTCCTGGGACAGAGAGGAGAAGTCCCACTGCTGAGCACAGGGCGGTTTTCCTTCCTTTCCCCACAGCATCTGCAGGGTTTCTGCTCCTGCAAGAATGAGTGCAGGCTGCCCCTACCCCAGCACTTCCCGAAGGAAACACATCTCAGGAGGTTCCAGGGAAGCTCAACTCGTGCAAAGTTGCAGGAGCAGAGCACAGAGGTGGCCTTCAGCTCCTGACCTTCCCAACCTGCATTCAGCTACGGGTGGAATTCAAAACCAGCAAAAGAAGAAGAGAGTGAGCTCCCAAAGGGGAAATCAGGGTCAGGTCCTGTTCCCATCGCAGCTTCAATTCCCTTCTCCCATGTCCTGCGAGAACCGGAGCGGTTCCTTCAGCTCTCAGTATCAGTTCCCTGCGTAGCACCGGGCATCGGGCAGATAAGCTCAGAAAATGGAAGAGCTTCGAGCTCTGAGGGGATGGGGAACAGCGTAAACAGCTGAGCCGCCGGCAGACGGGCAGAGAGCCGGCAGGCAATCCTCCCGTGTAGGAACGCACAGCTCAGCACCGCCTCGACCCACTTTCGTTTCTCGTGGCCCCGCTCCGCCCGCTTCTCCCGGCTCGGTGAGGCCGCAGCGCGTTCTCCGTGGCCGGGCAGCGCCGGGAGCCCCCGCAGCGCTCACCGCCCCGCACCGCAGCGCCGCGCCGATGCCGCCGAGCGGTGACAGCCGCGGAGCAGCGCGGAGGGACGCGGCCGCCTTCGGGAGCGGCAGAACGGAGCTGCGTGTCCCGAACGCCCGCCCCGCAGCCCCCAACGGGCACGGCGCTTCCCCCCGCCCGGCCCGGCCCCGCTCACTCAGCGTAGCCCGTGCTCCAGGGCAGGCGGCGGCGGCCGTCGCGGGGGCTTTGCACCGCCCGCCCCGTGTGGTCGTCGGCACGGCGCAGTTCCTCGGACGTCAGCTGCAGGAAGGCCGGCCGGCAGAACGCCGTCACCCGCGACCCCTCCTCGCCCCCGGCCCCGCTACCGCCGCCACCGCCGTGCCGGGGCTCGGCCGGGGTTTGCGTGCCCGGCCCGGGGCCCAGCCCCGCCACCAGGTGCGAGACCGCTGAACGCACCCGCAGCAGCATGCCGGGCCGAGCCGGGCCGAGCCGCGCCGAGCCCCGCCTCCGGCTCCGCCCCAGGGCCGCCCCCCCGGGGGAGACGCGCACCGGGACGGAAAGCGGCTGCGGTCCCCGGGTACGAGATGGGACCGCTACGGTGATGGAACTCTGAGCCTCTGGGTTGTGAGGGATGGCAGCCGTGGTCCTGGCAGCGGTCACCTGAAGCTCAGCAGGCCCTGATCCTCTCCGGCTGCTGGATGCTCCCCAGCTCCCGCAGAGCCTCCTGCTCCGACCCGGCATCTGCCGCTCTTGGCAGTGCTTCGTCACGCTCAGCGGTGAGACCCAGCCCCCCGCGGTCACGCCGAGCTATTAATAAGCAGCTGTGCTGCAGAGGAACGGGGAGCTGACGGGACTGAGAGCAGAACCTCCTTCTTCCACCGGAGCTGCGGCAGCGCTGCTCGGGATGCAGACTCAGCCGCCCCAAGGCGATGCGCCTCTGCCGGCTGGGAGAACTGACAGTTCGGAGAGCACAGCTCACAGGGACTGACCTCAGCACCTCCTGCCTCGGTATTCCTATGGCAACAAGCATTCTGCTGAAAAAAATACAATATTTGTCTGTGTAAAGTAGAACTGAGTCCATCTGCTGGGCTCTCCGTGTCCCGGTGCACTGCGCTCCCCAGGGAGCTGCTTTCATCCTTCCCGCACAGATCTGTACTTTCAGGTCTGTGCAGAAACACAACCCTCACTGCTCGCCCTGCACAGCTCCGAGTGCATTCATCACGTCCTTGGCTAAACCTTGTCCCCTAAGCAAACTATTGAGGCCATCCTACGGGTATTGTATTACTCTTTTTTTCTCCCGAGCTGCAAGCCGCTCAGCAGCGCGTCTCGGTGAGGTCAGAACGCACGCACCCTTTCCAGGCTGCTTTTTGGAGCTGCCTTCACGTCCCTGCCGGCCGCTGCTGCCTCCTCCTGCCCTTTGCCTGCCGCTGCTCGGCTCCCACTCCTTCGTTCCCTGCTCAGAGCTCACCTCTATCTTCTCAGCGAGGCGGAGCGGGCACCAGGGGGCGGCACAGACTGCGCGCAGCGCTGGAGAACGCGACCCCTTCCCTCCGCTCGACCCCATCCCCGACCCCTCCCCACCAGCGCAGTTTCCTCGGGGGGTCCTTAGCGGCATCCCCCACTGCCCAGCACGGCTGAGTCACCTTGGAAAGGGGGAAACTGCAGCGTCCGGATTGACTGCTGTGCAAATCCCACCTCGTTTCGTGCTCTTTGTGTTTCCGTTCTGCTACGCGCCGCGCAGAAAGAAAACATAAAAACACGCAGCAAAACGTTCCCCGAAACAATGCAATGCTAATAGCTGTTTTCCAAGAAAGAGAGCGACATTTCCTCCCATTCATCCTCCCTGCAAGCTCAATGCAAGCTTCCTCCCTGCGTGCTGCCCCTGCGCTCCTTTCCGGGCACTGCTGGTGCCAGGCACACGGCTGAGTGACGCAGGGAGGCCCAGCTGTGTCCCCTGAGTCCACTCTGGACGTCACCTACTCCATCCTCATGTTTCCTTCCCACCCTTCATGATCCTGCCGGGGCTGCCCTGCCTGGGTGCTGCACTGGGTGCTCACCCTGCATGGAACCAGTTTGGGTGTCCCTTTGGGAACGCTGTCTGTGTGATCCCTGCCGTGACCTCAGCTCCCTTCTCCCTGTTCTTGGAGGCCTCTCCAACCCCCAGCTGTAATGAGCTCCTTTCAGCACAACAAAATTGCTGCTGCTCCCCCCAAGAGGGTGATTGCTTAGGGCACAGCAGGGAAATTGCCATGAACTGTAATGCACTTTCTGGTGAGAAAATGTGAAAGAATATGTTGGTGGCATTTAAGGCAGTATGTAAGCAAATTAAACATCTAGATCATAAAAGTAGTGAAGGATGTTTTAAAATAAGCCCTTTGCAGCAGTGCATTAGTTGGCTGCACAGCTTTACCGTGTAATGAGCAATATATTAATTTATAATTAGTGTAATACAGTGAAGCCCCACAAATAGCTCTGCGCGCTCCGGATAATTCATCAACAGAAGAAGCAGCTCTTAATGGTTTCCAAGCTTTGCCTGTCCCCCGTAATTGGGGAGTTCAGAATTTACTGTTATTTCTTTTAAGGGGTGATTTGATCTTCGCTGTGTGGCTGCTCTGCTCTTCTGCAGGGCGCTGCACCCGGAGCTCAGCTCTGTGCACAGCCTGGCAGTGTGCGGTGCTGTGGGCTGCCCCCATCGCCTCTGCTGCGGGTGGATGGAGGTCTGCTGCTGGGCTCTGCTGCTGCAAACCCACCTCCCCTCCTTGCACTGCCCTGGGGACCTTCCCCACATGAACGCAGCTGAAGGGAAACGATTTTTTCCATGTAAAGTCTGCAAGGTTTTCTTATGCAGTTCCTTTCCCTGCCAGCCTTGTTATGAGCACTCAGCTTTGTTCCTCCCCTTCTCTTCCTCTACAGCAATGCAAAGGACTCCTGGAAGAGTCAGAGCCAGGAATGAGGACAATGCAGAGAGTCTGAGTATATCGAGGAGTGGAGAGAAGGGAAATTGCTGCTCTCTTCACCGGAATTCCAATGAAATCAGTTCTGCTGAAATGTTAATTCTTCCCCTGTATTGAAATGCTGTGATCTGGAAAAGCAGTTTGTATTTCTATGCCATTGCATCAATAAAGAGCTTGATTTTGTAGGCTTCCTTATTGAATAATCTGGCCTAATTTAATTGGAGTTTGGCTGATGTGAAAGGTGGTTTTGTTTGCCTTTGTGCTTGATGATTTCCATTAAAACTTTGCGATCTGGAAAGTAATATGTTTGTATTTACTTATCACAGCCATTTGTGACTCTCTGACAAACTATCTAATGAATACAAAGAGCAGACTTAATTTCATGTTGTATTAATTTCTTTTCCCAGTAATTTCCCCATTACTCTCTGATCTGAAGAGCACGATGCTCATATTTCTTAATATCTTATTACTGGAGTGTGGGTTAATCTTGTAGAGCTTTTTTTCCCCCTTTCTTTTGAGCAGCCACATCTAACCAATTTAACGTGGCGATGTGATTTTTCCCTTTCAAAAAGAGGACAAGAAAGTTCAGCTTAGTGAAATAGCAGAGGGAATGTATTCTTATGAAGGGTTTAAGGCCAGGAGTCGTCCCCTGGTTGCAGGGCTCCTCTCGGCTCAGGGAAGATGCCCGGATCCCCACTGCCCCTGGAGCTGATGGGACGCAGTGGGGCCGGGCAGCGCCTCTGTGCTGTGCTGTCACTGATCCGAACTGGAGATGCTATAAATCAAGCCGAGATTATAGAAGGGTGCGCCTGAGCTCGTGCGATGGGTCCATGCGGAAGAAAGAAACGCTCCCCGGTGAGGATGCTGTCCTGCAGCCTTTCCTAGGAAAAAAAGCTTGCGGTGTTGGACCAGATGCGGTGCTGCGGAGGCGCTCAGGGGCTGCGATTTGTTCCGAGCGGCTGCACGGCGCAGCCCAGCGCTCTGTAGGGCAACCCCGGGGCCGTCCCACGGGTTTGGCTTTGTTCTTCTTTTGTGGGGGGAGGAAGGGGGATACGTCGGGGAGATCAATTCGCTCTCTGACTGACCACTCCTAACAGCCCGGTGATGAGCAGCGGGGATAACTGGGACGGGGCCGCGCCGTTCCCGCAGAGCCGTGCGGGGCCATCGGGGCGCGCAGCCGGGGCTGAGCCCGGGGGGCGGCCGGGAGCGCTCCACCGGTACCGGGGAGGCGGCGGCAGGCGGCGCTGCGCCCCTTCGCGCCGGCGCGGGCACCGGGGCCGCCCGGCTCCGCGCCCCGCCGCCCCCGCCGCCGCCCAGCCCCGCCGAGCGGAGCGGACCGAGCCCAGCGCTGCCGGCGCCGCCGCCCGGCGATGCCAGCCGGCCCACGGCCGCAGGGGGCCGCGGAGCAGGCGCTGATCCTGCGGAGCGCACGGACGGCGGCCATGGGCAGAGGCTGCCCCGGCCCGCACGGACGGCACCGGCAGGTACCTGCGGTCCGGCCCGGCCGGCTGCGAAGTTGGGGCGGGACGGGAGCGGACCTCGGGACGAAGCCGAGCGCGGCGGAGTTGCGGTGCCGTCGGGGTCGGGGCCGTCGCGGGGGCCGGTGGCGGAGCCGCTGTGCCCGGCTTGTCCGTGCGGGGAGCGCTGCGGGGGAACCGGGGAATTCCGGCGGGGCGCGAGAAGCGCTTCCTTTGCGGGCAGCGGGTCTCTGTGCGCGGTGTCCCGGGTCGGTGCCGGTGACCCGCACGGGGCCCGGTGCGCAGCGTGCAGGGTGATGCGCTGCCATCCGCTCGAGCCAAGCGGCCCCGAAGGCAGCGGCAGTGCCCTGCTGCTGTTAGTCCCTTCCCGTCCGTGCGGTGCGGGGCTTGGGGCCGCCGGGGCTGGGGAAGCCCGTGGGCACGCAGGGTGCCCGTGCTCTGCGAGATGCTCTCTGCACTAGGGGAAGAGCCCACGCGGGGGAATGTGGCATCTCCTGGAGACCTCGAGCTGCCTCCACGGTGGTGCCGAGGCTCCCTTGGCTTCTGCTGAGCGTGGTTGGGTCTCACACCCCTGGTATGTGACTGTTTTCCTGGCACATGGGGAGGGTGAGGTCGATGCTGACCTTCAGCGTGCCAGCAGCAGCAGGAAGGTGGGATTCACCGAGATGAGGGGGCAGCAGTCAGGGCCGTGCTTGGGCTGAATTTAAGTTAAAAACTCCTGCTCAATTGAGCTGGGAAAAGAAAGCTGCACACACAGAAGGAGTGAGGAAGGAGCTGAAAACCAACCAGCACACAGGAGAGAACACTTCCATGGGAAGCAGCACTCTGTGTTCCTGTGCCCCCTGCCAGGTTGCCGAGCTCATGCCTTATGCTGCCCTCCGTGCTGGGGCTGTGGGACGTAATGAGCTGCAGTGCTGCAAGTGCACTCAGAGCTGGAGCTAAACTGAAGGGTATGAGAGGGCTCAGCTCAGCCCAGAGCTCTGCAGTTTGGCTCTGGAGAGCAGTGGTGCAGCTCAGGACATGCAGGGTGGGAGTTGCTGCACAGAGCTCCTGATGGTGTCCATCCAGGTGTGCACAGCAACTCCCTGTGTGCATCCCTAGCTCTGCAGCTGCAACCTCATAGCTATGACTCCCCAGCCTTGCCTTTAATTAAGCACCATCAGTGCTGCTCAGGGAGCCGGGGTGTAGCCAGCTGCTGGCCAGCATGAACCCAAAATTGTGTGTACAAAGAGTGTTGCTGTTGTGCTCCATGCTGAGATGCCTGACTTGGTGCTTCAGGGAAGCTTTAATATCAAATTGCTCCTCCAATAGGCAGTGTAACATCTGCAGTGATCACAGAGAGGTTTCTGTGCCTGCTGGGCTCTTCTGGGGTCTCCTCCCCACTCTGGGGCTGGGCATGGGGCTGCCCACCACTGCAGAGCCCTGGGGAACCAGGACACTCTCTTCTTACGTTCAGCAAAAACGGCGCAGTTCCAGGCTGTGCTAAAATAGCAGGAGTGCTAAAATAGCTTTCAAACAAATGGCAAATCTCTTGGGCCAGGTGTGCACAAAGGTTGGTGATGCTGGAGCTGCATTGGAGCGTTCATTAGCACAGACAGCCAGTTCACATCCAGCCTCCCCTGTCTCTTTGTTTCTTTTTTTGGGTAGAATTTTGCTGCCTGTAATTATTCAGCTCATGAGGACCTTTGCAAGGAGCACTCCCGACTTCCAGAGCTCGGTGCATCATTTGGCACAACAGAACTCCTCATTAGCACTGTGAGCACCGGGCTGTGCTCCAGCATCCCTGGCTGCAGGACCACCTCTGCAAGTGCAGGAGGAACCTCCAGGTTCACATCTGGGACTTCTTACCCTCTGCATCAGCGTTGAGGTCCCTGAGGCTGCATGTGAGGGACTGCTGCAAAGTCCACCCATGCTTTGTCCTGCACAGCTCCATTCTGGGGTTAACAAATGTGCTAAAGAATTAAAATTGTTGTGCAGAGGGCTGGGAGAGCAGCAACGTGGTGTGCAGGAGAGCCACGCTCACTTCTGGCACCGTGGCTGTGCTGAGAGCTGCCTGCAGAGAAGGTTGAGCCCTGCAGGTCCTGGGTGGGCAGAAAGCAGCTAACAGAACTTTAACAGAAAATATAACCAAATCCCAAACAGAACAGAACAGAAAACACCGATATTTTCCATCAAAATGAAGTGCTTTGATGTGCCGCCACATCACTCACTCTTCATTTCACAGTGACATCCCAGGATGAGAAACTTTGTCAGACTGAACATCTGCAGTTGGTGTCTCACGGTGTTGGAGGCTGGCAACTGTCAAAACAGCAATTTCTGCTAAGCTGTGTTTTTCTATCCTGGGGGGACTTTGTGTGTGAGCATCGTGCACGTCTGCCAGCCTGTGCAGTCCCTTTGCAGAGCAGTTCCAGGCACCAGGCTGTGGGCACAGGATCTGCAGGGACAGATCCAGCAATGGGGCCGCATCACCTGCACATCCACTCAGTCCCATTGCATGCATTGCTGTCCTGCCGTACCCATAGGGAATATCTTTGTGCCTCTGAATTGTTTTCTAGCATAAAACACGTTCGTGTTGAGATCGTTTTCCTCTGGGAGAATATCAACGTTTTTGGTGACATTTTCTGTTGGTTTTTTTTCCCCCCAGCTCAGAAAATCAAAACGGAAAGCATCGCTTTACATCAGCATTTTGGAACGCAACGCTTTCTGTTCTGAAATGTCAGTTTGAAGCAGCCCGATTCATTTTGGAATGTTTCAGAGCAAGTAGTGCCCTTTACCTCCTCACATCACCTTGTTTTTTGTTAAAAATGTCAGTGTTTTCTGTGCTGGCACACCGTGAGATGAGCGCCTTTCGCTGCCCCAGCCTGGCCCAGAGCAGGATCCTCATTTAGAGGACTGTTGGACATTGGAGCTCTCTCCTCCCAGCACTGTGCTGGGCAGCACTGTGGGGTGCAGGTGAGAGCCCTGGTGTCGTTCCTGCTCATCCCTGACCTCCATCAGTAACTTACAGGCTGGTACTGAAGCGCTGTGTGGCTTTGCTCACCAGACCCCAGTGGGCACGGGGCTGGCCTCACCCCCGAGGAGGTGATGGGAGAGCACTTAACTGCACTTGGAAACACCTGGCAATGGATTTCTCCTGGTTTGCTCTGCCAGCAGCGTGCCCACGGGGCTGTCTGTGTCTCCCCTTTCAGATGCTCTGATGTCTGCTGTGTGTGAAGCTCCCAACACCTGTGCTTGGCGGATGCACGGCTGTTAGCGGGAAGCCCCGGTAAGAGGTAAACTGTGCTCCTCTTTGCTGCTGTGGTTTCTTGCTGTCCTGCTGCAGATGAAGCCCAGGGGAGGCGGGTGCATCCCCACCGTGCCCCCACTGCCCTGGGGGAAGGCTTGACCCCATGGCTGTGTGCTTGGGACGCCCTCAGCCCCTCTCCATCTGTGCTTCTCTCTTCTCGTTCTTGGCAGAATGAGTGAAAGGGACGTACAAAGCTTGAGCAGATGGGTTTTAGTGCTCACTCTCTGCCTTACCACACTATGGGGAAGACTGACGCTGGCCTCCACCCACCACAGAAGCCATTCAGGTAGGGAAGTGATGCTTCATGTCCCTACGCCACCAGGGGCTCATGGCACGGTGTGACCTGGATGCACTCAGTGCCTTGGGGCTCTCTAGGACAGCAGGCAGGCAAGGGTTAATCTGAAAATACCATGCGACAGCCTGACCCCACACCTAACCCCGTCCTATTTCTGTTTTTCCCTGGCAGTTAAAGCACCTCTAATCCTGTAATCCCAATCCTCATTGCTTAAAACTGAAGCGTATCTTCCCGAGGGGCTCTATCAGCCAGCTACTCAGGGCTACCTGCTTCCCCTTCCAACCTGGAGGGTGCAGGGGAAAGAACTCCTCTTCTACCACCTCAAGGATGGCCCTGGCTGCTGGGATCTGCTCTGGCTCCAAGCAAAGCCAAAACCACTGCCCCGAGGCATGGCCAGACCCTGAGGTGACACAGCTGTGACTCAGTGAGTTGTGGAAGGTGCCCCACGCATGTGTGTGGGGTTGGGAGTTACATGCACAACTCTGACTCTGTATGCAAGAAGCACTGATACGTTCCTATGCTCACAGGCAGAGCTGGAGGTTCTCACTTGCAAAGATTTACCCATAGAGGACCAGAGCTGTGCTTCTTATTCAGGCAAATGCTGATCCACAGCAAAGAGGGCATAATGGGAGCACACGTTGAGAAGTCCAACCCTGCTCTGTGTCTCTGTGTTGTCGAGGTTTCTTGCAGCACATCCTTTATGGTTGCTGTAGGAGTTTTGCTGCTTACACTGTTTCTTGCTTTCCCTGTTTTGTGGCGGTTCGTAGCATTCATTTTCCACTTGTCTGCCCCGTGCTTTTGCTTCATTGAGGGCATCTTTTAGTAAAGGTTATGCTGGGAATGCCCTTTTATAAGGTTGTGTTCTCTGTGGCGATGACATTTTCCCCTGGAAAGCCTGCAGTTATGCTGCTGCACACAGAAATGAGAGGGAGGTGTGGGCTGGGATTGCTGCACCTCTGCTGCTGACAGATGGCATACACAGAGGGACAGACACAAGCAGTGCTTTTGCCTGTGCACTGCTTGCAGTCACCTACCAATGAAAAACTGCAGGAGGAAGGGTGCAATTGTGACAACACAGCACAGGATTTCATGACCTGTGAACTCAGGAATGAAAGGAAGGAACGTGCAGATCCTCTGTTGGCCTTCCAGGAACACAATGCATTTTAACATCTGGCTTTGGAGTACAGTCCAATTGCTCGTGTTCACTTCACACCTGGAGAACGCTGATGTCAAAGCAGAGCAGTGCATCCTGGTGTGTGCAATTGGATTTAAGCAGCCACATGGACCCCGTGCAGGGATGGAGTCATCTGGGGATGGAGAAAGAGACTCCTCAGAGCAGAATGACCCACGTGCACCTTGCTATGTGAGCAGCTCTGGATGGAGCCCCAGCACCTTCTGATAAACGTGAGAGCCACCAGTGCCATCTCTGCCATCACCCACAGCCATCGCTCAGCTGAGTGGGCACAGGAGGGAGACCTGGCCAGCTGAGCAGGACATCCTGCCAGCAGTGGGGGTTTCCACAGCGGCACATTATCAGCACTTCTCAATGCAATCCCTGGATTTGTTTTTCTTGCTCGTGAGCATCAGGTGCTGGGAGCTGGGTGAGCAGTTGTGTGCGTGCACTTGTACAGACGTGCTTCCCTCTGTGCTGCAGAGGGGGACGGGATGAGCTGAGTTCTGATATGACAAGCTACTAAAAAGCTCCAGCCGGCGCGCAGTGATAACGAGCAATAAAAACAGAAGCACTTCTCTCCAAACCCCTTTTAAATTATGCATGCACCCGAGGCAGTAGTGATTTTAAGGCGTGAATTATTCAAGCCGTGGTAGCAGTGGGGCTGTTGCTGGGTGGGCAGCGTGGTCCCCCCTGCCCTCCTGCCCCACTTGGTGCTGCAGGTGTTGGCATTGCCTGTGGTTACACTGCACTTCAGTGCACGGAGATCTCAGGCTGAGCACACAGGGCATTGCCTGCTCCTCCTCAGGACAAAGCTGTCGTTTCAGGTTGTGCCATCAGCGGCCCCGTTGTGCCACTCACTTAAAGGTCAGCCAGAGTAGGATGGTATTTTTGCTTTATTTTTTTACCCACGGGATTCAAAAGCCTCGTGCTTTCATGGCGCCTTTATGGTTCTGTCAGATAGGAGTTTCTTAAAAGGGCTCTGCTGGAGGCAGCTGTGTGCCAGCAGTGCTGCAGCTATCCCAGGCTTGCAGGGTTTGCTGTGCTCACTCTCTGCTCTCCTCCAGCTTGCTGCAGCTACCCTGGGGCTCTGTGTGCCCCCCAGGTGCCCTCTTACAGCCAACCAAACCCCGGGATCCTTGCTTGTCCTGTGAAAATCCCATAAAAGCAAAGCGAGTCGTGGTCACGTTTGTCCTGTAATGATGCTTTCCTTTTCCCTTTCACCAAAGTGTTTAATTTCTGCATACAGAAACAGTGGAGGCTGTCATTAAAACTGAATTATGATGGCGTTTAAAAGGAAGGATTAAATTTATGGCCAGAGATGCTATTACAAAATACTTCCAGGATAGGTAATTGTGTAATTATTATGGGCAGAAATGAAAGCGATGGTTCATTAAAAGAAAATGACCGTGAAATAACAATAAATAACAGCAAGAAATGGCACAAGCTGCCTTTCCCGTGCACGGATCTGTGTGCACGTCGCAGGAACGGAGCTCCTTTCTTCCCCTCTCCCCTCTCTGCCCAGCAGCTGCATGACTGCAGCCCATACCCAGCGAGGCAGTGATGCCAACACACAGCTCCGTGCCCGCTCCTCTGGTGCTCATTAAACGGGACCTGCAGGGATCAGTGGTGCTCAGGTCATGGGAATCAAGTCTATCCAGCCATGTTTGGCTAATTTGTATTGTGCCTGCGTGGGCCGTTACCCAGAGAAATGCATTGATTTGCGATGCTAACCAGCTTCTGAACCCAGATCCCAGAGGTGATAAGCCAGCACATCAGTTTTCTTTCTGCCTTAATATTTTAATGGCACTGGGAGAGGGAGCAGCAGAGCAGCTGGGGTTCTTGCTGCTCACTGTGATGTTTCTGCAGGCTGGGAGCACTCTCCTGGCTCTGCCTCCTCCATCCCGAGGACGGTGCAGTGGGAGCACTGCATTGCACTGCAGGGCTGGGGGCCGGGATGGTGCTGCTGTGCTGGGAGCTGAAGGCAGAACGATGCAACATGCCCTCCTGCAGCAAAGCACACCTCTCATTATCAGCTCTGGTTAGCCATTGTGCTCATTTGTTTCTGCAAGGCTCTTGGCTTTGCTGTGGCAAAAGCTGTTCATTGTGCTCAGTGATGGATGTGAGAGCTTTCAGGGCTGGACGCCGGGGGGTCTGGAGCAGGACCAGCGCTTCCCATCAGCAGAGGGGTGGCCAGCAGGGACAGGGAGGTGATCGTCCCCCTCTGCTCTTGTGAGGCCCCACCTGCAGTGCTGTGTCCAGGTCTGGAGCCCCCAGGACAAGAAAGACAGAGGGCTGTTGGAGAGGGTCCAGAGGAGCCACAGAGATGATCAGGGGGCTGCAGCACCTCCCCTATGGAGACAGGCTGAGGAAGCTGGGCTTGTTCAGCCTGGAGAAAAGAAGGCTGTGGGGTGACCTCATTGCAGCCTGCAGTACCTAAAGGGAGCCTACAAACAGGAGGGGAATCAACTCTTGGGAAGGGGAGATGACAGCAGGACAAGGGGAAATGGTTTGAAGTTGAGGGAGGGAAGATTGAGGTTGGATGTCAGGAGGAAATTCTTTACTATGAGAGCAGTGAGGTGCTGGAACAGCTGCCCAGAGAGGCTGTGATGCCCCGTCCATCCCTGGAGGTGTTCAAGGCCAGGTTGGATGGGGCCCATGCTGAGCTTCCTTCTGTCCCCACATCACACAGCTCCTTCTCTCCTGCAGCACACGTGGAGCCCGGCACCTGCGAGGTCATCGCAGCACACAGGTGCTGCAATAAGAACAAGATAGAGGAGCGCTCCCAGACCGTGAAGTGCTCCTGCTTCCCAGGGCAGGTGGCAGGCACCACACGGGCAGCCCCCTCCTGTGTGGATGGTGAGTATCTGCGGGGCAGGGGAGCTGTGCTGGGGATGCCCTGTGGTCACTGCCCCCACCCCAGAGCTTCCCAGCATTGGTCCCTGTGTGCCTGCAGCCGGGGCAGGGACGTGACTCCGGCCACGCAGTGCCATCACCGGTGCACTTAGGAGCACAAAGCACAGCTCAGCCTATATATATTTCATCGATTGACGTCACATGCCATTACCATAGGGCCACCAGGATCAGCTGGGAGCCTCTGCCGGTGCATTATTGATTCTGATCCTGCAGTGCATTTGTGCACAGTGCCAGGAAATACCCAGGTTAATTCTCAAGCTGTCTCACACAGCTTTTGTGCCGCCCTTCCCAAGGATAAGGAAGCCCCCTCTAATTATCCACACCGTTGGCGTTGGTTACTCACAAAGCTGGGCAGCACAGAACAGTTGCTCTCCATCAGCAATGGGGCCCAGAGCAGAGATGCCTCCCCTGCCCTACAGGGATGGGGCTGATGATGGGGGCAATGATAGGCGATGGGATGCTTTGGGGGCACTGGGAGCAGCGGGTCCCTTCCTCTCACTGAACGGCTGCTCTCCCCCAGCCTCCATCGTGCTGCAGAAGTGGTGGTGCCAGATGGAGCCCTGCCTCGCTGGGGAGGAGTGCAAAGTGCTGCCCGACCTCTCAGGCTGGAGTTGCAGCAGTGGCAACAAAGTGAAGACCACCAAGGTACGTCAGCCCCCAGCCCCCTCCACCCCCCACCCGGGGCCACCAGTGGCAGAGCACTGCATGATTGTTATTTTCATGGCTTGCTGAACGCCCCGAAGAACAAGGTGTAATTAAAATTTTATCAAACACATTAGTAATTACATATATGTCACGGTTAATCAGTTGCATAATTTTGTAATCATTGTTCATGCAGTCGAGGGTAATTGTTCCTTGTGCTGGAGCTCTTCTCACCCCGCATCCCCTGCTATAAAATTATCGTATTAAAAAAATGCTGGGGGGGGATTTATTTTTTTTCATTATTGCCATCATTTTGGATCACCAAAAGGACTTTCCTGCTCAAGTGTGTGTGTGGATGTCTGAGAAGGTCTCTTTGCTCTGGGCACCCGTCCCTGCCTTGGGCTCTTGGTGTGCATTACTTGGTTCCCTACCCCCAACTGAGCCCTCAGTCTCCCAGTGCAGACAGAACCCAGAGGGAGGTCACAAATAACCCTGGAACAACCGTGGGATGCAAGGAGCAGGTTATGTCTGTTATGTCTGCATCTGCTGGGTGCTCATCATCTCCTCTCCTGCAGGTCACCCGGTAGCTCCTGCAGCCTGGAGTCAGCCCTGATGACATCGCAGTGCTGGATGGGATGGGAGGGTGCCAGCACTGCTGCAATGCCTCACAGCTCCACAGCCCCGTGATGCACCCTGCAGCCAAGAAACGGGCTCGTTTTCCCATCCTCTGAAATAAAATGCTCCGATTGTTGACAGTTATGGAGACAGACAGACAGCAGAGCTTTATTCCCTGCTAAAGCAGCGAAGGTCAGTGCTGTGGGAGTTGCACAGATAGCCTTGCTGCCTCTCTCTCCCTGACCTGGAAGCAGACCCTGCTCAGCACTGCCCGCAGTGGCGGTACCGGGGCGGTCCAACACCTCCTCGGGCTCCGGAGATGGCAAAACATTTCCACAGAGCACACTGTTGGTTCTTCCTTCCTGTGTAATTGCATTAACGAGGCGGCGAGTTTAATGCCTGTTCCTACAGAGCCAGTCCCAGGCACCACATTGCAGCTCGTGTTTGCATCGAATTTCAGAATAAAGAGGAGGATTCCAGTGCTGGACACGTGCAGGTTCTGCAGCCCTGGGCTGAATGTGGCATTAAGGAAACAGGCACCGTGCCCCCGAATGTGCTCTGTCCCCTCTCTGCAGCTGGAGGGGAGGTGGGGGCCCAAGGACCCGGCGTGGAGGTGCTCCCGTTCTGGGGTATGCAATGCTGCTGCAGACTGATGTACATAGCAGACTGTGAAATATTAAATCCAATTTAATCTCTGCTGAAGATCTCTTCATTGCGAAGCTGAGGGGCAGTGCTGGTGATGGGGCTGAGGGACCCTCACAGGCTCCGATGCTCACAACTGATTTTTAGTGCCATCGGACCACAGAGAGAGACATTTCTGCATCGGTTCCCCTACACATGAAATTGCTTTGCTGATTTGTTGAGTCCTTTGTGGTTTGAAGCACGCAGGATTTGGGCTTTCCATCAGTTCCTTTAATGGGAGGTGTTCTGAAGGAGAGCGGGGGTTTTAATTCAGGGAAGGCTGATTTACACTTCAAGGGCGAGCGGAGGATCCCTCAGGTTGTGGTCTGCATCCCGTTGTCCAGCAGAGGTTTGCATACAGGACACACCATGGTTTGGGGGAGCAAATATCCCCTCTGTGTGCCTGTGTGCTGAGCACTGATTCCCTGCATTGCTTGCCTCCTCCATGGGAGGATCCACAGGGGGGCCATTGGCTCCTCCTGGCAGTGATGCTGCACCTCCTGCTCTCAGGGGGGGTCCAGGAGCTGCAAGGTGGCCCCATCCCCACTGGGCATGGTCCCTTCAAAAGGCTCAGCCCCTGGGGGCTGTCACAGTTCAGATGCTTCCATATCATCTCCTGGGTATTGTAATTACACCTCGTTCAATTAGTCTTTGGGGGAGGAGGGAAGAGAGAAAAAAAAAACCCTTTGTGTTAAGGTTTGGTGGAGAATTATTAGAGAGCGAATTAAAAGACAAGGATTTCATTTTACTTCACAATAACAAAGGCCTAATGGATAAAATATCCAAAAATTACGAGCTGATTAAATTTAGAGCTGTGCTAGGTGGTGAAATGAAAGGTAAAATGAGACCCTTTGAGAAGCGACGACGTGCGGTACGAGGGGGTGTATTATCTGAGAAGTAAGATGGAAACATAATTAACCATCCGGCGTTACGCTGAGAGATGGAAAATTGAAATGGGAGACAAAATTAGGTGAAATTGCAGAGCAGACTCATTTATTTCCGTGGTATAAATCAGCATTACCTGTCAGCAGGGCTGAGCTGCTCGGGGCGATGCTGCCGGCGCAGAGCGCAGCCGGGTGGCACTGCAGGGTGGGCTGCCCCTACCGGGCATCGCCTGCAGCTCGGATGGGGGAAACCCATCCCGGTGGGCGCTGCTCTGCCCCAGCCTGGCTCCGATCCCTGAGTTTTGCTCCTCCCACTGCTGCGTGCCCTCCTGCTGTGATCCCTCACGGTGATGAGTGCCGCAGCCCGGGTTAGAGCAGGAGGGACATTTTTGGTTTGGTGGCTTGAAATTTCTGCCTTTCAGGCTTAATTGGATTTCTTTCCCCTGCAGCAGGATAAGAGAAGTAACCCCTGCCACCTTCGCCCTGCTGCTGTCACTCGGTTTGCTCCTGTCAGCCCGTTTGGTTTAGCGCTGCTTTGACGATGAGCAAGGAAAAGGTTTGTCTCTTCCAGAAGCCACAAGGGGAAGGTGCACCGTGCAGCTGCAGTGCCCCATTTAGGAACACGGAGCATCACTGGGGCAGGAGCAGCGGGACGGCTGGGCCGTGCGTGAGGAGCTGAGCTGGGGGTCGCGGCCAAAGCTGCTGCCCCATGTTTGCTCCAGGCAGCAAAGCAGCGCTGCAGGATCACGCAGCCTGGTGTTTTATGAAGCATGCATTTGTAGGGATGTTCTAAGGAAGGGAATCAATTATTCACTTGGGTGTTTCTGAGCTATAAAAGCAGAAGCGGGGTGCCACCCACCGCTCCAGCCCTACCGACCCTTTCCTTTGCTTTCCTCTCTGCCCATCTCGCAGTTGAAGGCGGTGGGGATGGGGCACAGCCCACTCTGCACGCGCTATTTACCGACCAAATCAGGGATTAAAAGAGATTTTCATTTTTATAAAGTGATTTCTAACCTTGTTTTCCTGCTGGCACTGTTGGCATTGTGCAAAGCAATGAGGGAGATTGCAATTTAATTTGTGCCTTTCCCAGCTTGTCGTTAATCTCCCGACTTACTGCCGGTATTTGATTTCTGTAGCATTACTTCATGATAAAGGGATTATCCTGGACCATAGGTCTCCTCTTTGATGCTCATCTGTTGGGGATTACTGAGAAATTCTGTAGTTAGTTAATGGGTCAAATAGGCACTGTCCCCTCCAGCCCTGAGCGCAGGGATGGGGCGCTGCCCGCTCTTCCAAAATGGGAAAGCAGGAATGAATTATTTAAATGGGCAGAAGATAATTAGCACTAATCAATCTGGATTCTGCCCAGGCTATATAGCATTAATCTTACTAATTATTTAATATCGCTAACACAGTTTGCAGTGACTTCAACAGTTCAGTGAATTTGGCGTTGAGTAATAGATATAAAGTGATTGATTCTGAGTTGAAAGGCCCCTTGGGGCTGTAGATCCGACCATTTAATTAATCAAATTATCACTTTCAGGCCTTTCGAGGAGTAGCAGCGCAGTCTTGCAGGGGGACTTTTTTCCTTGCACGGATGGTTATTGTCAGATTGCAGGAGGGAGCATTGTGTCAAGAACATGAAGGCAGAAGTTGGAGCACATTGGCAGTGTGAGTGATGAGTTCTGAGGGGACGGGGTGTGCAGCCTGGGCAGCCTGGGCTGCTATGAAACGTGGAGGTTGGTGGCCCTGCCTGTGGTATGGGGTTGGAGATTCATGATCCTTCAGGTCTCTTCCAACCCGGGCCATCCTGTGAGTGCTGACATCGCAGCACAGTTCTGACCCAGGGGGAGGCTGAGCTCACACTGTGCCCCACAGTGACCCACAGCATTGGGGCTGTGCAGCCGAGGTCAGGCAGCCTGAGAAGTGGGAAGGCGGGGATGCATTATGGAGTAATTACTTACTCATCTCCTGGTGGTTATTGAGCACAGCCCTGGCTTTGATGAATCGCTGCTCAATTTCTGTGACGGGTGTGCAGTTGGAGCAGTGCCCCGAGGCTGCTGTCAGGAGGGGCTGCGAGGTGCTGAGCTGTGAGCAGCAGTGGTGCTGAGAGGAACTGATGGCATTTGCTTGGGATCGGCCTGGGATTCGTTCAGTAGTTCTACATTTTCTTCTAAAGAGCTCTGGGTTGAGCACTGGAGCCCCTGTCTGCAGCACGTAGCTGTTGGCCGTGTGCAGGTAAGGAGAGCTTTGGTGAGGCTGGTAATGGATTCACAGCAAGGAAACAAACTGAAAGCAGTGGTCGATTCCAGAGCAGGATTCTCTGGAGCTCACCCAGGCCTACCGTGTCCTGGCAGCAGCAGGAGTGCAGGAGAGAAAGGGGAGCAGAAACCTTCCTGCTGTGATGTGGGGAGGAGCCGTGGGACTTGGAGTCAGCTTTCCTCCTCTGTTCATCTGTATTTGTGTTTGGGGAGTTCAGATTGCAGTTTACAGATGTAAACGCATCTCCCATGATGTCTTCCTCACCTCCCAGGAATACACAGCAAGAGCTGTGAGTTGTGCACAGTGAGAAAACACACAGCACTGCTCCATGCCCCTCTGTAATGGCAGTGACAGCAGCAGCGACAGCAGGGCTGCAGGCAGCAGGTAGGGATGCTGCTGCCCCTGTGACCCAGGGAAGCTCCTCACCAGGAGCTCAATGCACTGCACTCCCCACCTGCAGGGATATCATCTCTCTTATTAGTGTTTGCCATCACACAGTTTAATCAGGGTCACTCAGCGGGGCTGTAAATGACATCTTAATTAATGGCCCTGATACATGCCAGCGCCCAGCAGCCCCGCAGCGCTGCTGGCTGCATGCTGCTCCCCAGTGCAGCCTTAAATCAGCACTGAGGCTGTGATCTGTGTGTCCAGCTGGGTGATTCAGTGCCTGCTCTCCCAAAAGAGCACACCAGGTGGACATCCCAGCAGTCAGAGCACAGCACGGGGCATCTGATGTGGCAACGTGTGGCTGTGCGCCCACATCCATCCATCACCTGACTGATGGCTCAGCTCTGTGACTTATTCCAAAGTCAGTCATAGTTCAGAGCCAACCCATAACTCAACACATCACGTCTTTGTCAGTGACACCGAGCTGGGATAACTCAGGGGTAACTTCAGGATTAATTGTGTTACTGATGAAGTTACTGACATGACTTATAAATTGCCCTACGGCCAATAAATCAGAGAGACACCTGAGAGATCCATCATATTTCTTTCGGTCAGAAACTTCATATGCCCTATAAATCAGATATCTGAACAGCTCATTGCACATCAAACCCGTGCTTAGAAAACAGCTTTTGGGGAGAAGATACAGAAGATATACTTATGGGATGTCTGTCTCAAGCTGCTTAGTGGGGCTAAAGAAAACATGAGGTGGGTGAGGGGCAGTGCTGAGCATGCTGGGCTGATCGGTCCCTGCTCTGAAACTGCAACAGGTACACCTTCCTGATAACAATCAATGCATCCAGTGGAGAATTGGGTTTTATTTGATGTGCAGTTCACTTAGGGCCTGACACATCTGTTCAGATTTATTAAAGCAGTTCTCGTGCGTTGAGCTGGCGCTGGTGGATTCCTTGCAATGCATTTTAGGGGGATTTTAAAGTCACGGTGAGGGAAACGTTTTCTGTATCTCACATGGAAACTGCTGTAACTGCGGTGTGTTCTTATCAGCAGGACTCCCTCTGGAATACAGAACCGCCCTGTTTTTGTCCTGTATGAAATGCATGGAGGAGTATTGGGGGCATTTTTAAAGATGCGGAGTTTTAATGAGTCTGTGGGCAATTTACCATAAATCACACATGGAAATGTAAAATCTAATCAACTGGTTGCATCAGCAGAGCCATATGGGCAGGAGTTTCACTCCTGCAAAACCCAGCAAATCCAATGAATACATGGGAGATGATTTGAATGCATCAAGGAGACTTTTAAAGAACTTCTCCGAGAGCACAGCCTGCACAGAGCTGCACCACCAGCAGAGTGGGAGAGGTGCCAGCAAACACTGACATTAGAGGCCTGATGGAAAAACAAGGGGGGAAATAGGGGGAAAAAGGCTTTGGGTTGATGATCTGCTGCTGCTGGAGCTCTTTGCAGCCGTGAAGGTTCAGCAGAGGGGGAAATGATGCTGCCACCTGAACCCAGCTGTGTGCCAGGGCTGCCGTGGGGACATGAGGATCTGGTGCTCAACAGAATGCACATCTCCATGCTGCTGCTGCTCTGAGCACTGCTCCATGAACCCCAAGCACTGGTAGCAGCAGGGCTTCAGCTAAGGATGCTCACCTAGGCAGAAATGAGCCCGAGTGATAACTCCTAAAAACAGAGGTGCTGAGACTCGGTGGTGATGCTCAGTTTCTATGGGAACAGGCTGAGCTGATGAGAGAACCTCGTGTGGAAGAGGCAGGAAAAGAACCGAACGGTGCTGCTGATGTGGGGATTAATTGGTGTGAGTCAGGCTGTGCCTTTATGTAACCTGCAGCAGCCCCAAAGCCACCTCTTGTATGGATGTAAGGAGACGTTGGCAGCAGAACAATCTAATCACTTGTAGCAGCAATTGAGCCCCTGCCTTAAAAGAAAGGAGTGATTTATTTATGTCTGTTGGTTTCTGTATCAATGCCCTGGCAGTGCCATTGAGCTGCCAGCCCTGCTGCCATCCCAGCTCCCAGCTCCCTTACCAGACCATCCCTGATGCCATTCCCACTCCCAGCCCCATCCCCATCCCCACTGCCATCTCTGCTGCCATCCCAGCTGCCATCCCCATTACCATCCCAGCTCCCAGCCCTGTTCCCATCCCCGCTGCCATCTCTGCTCCCATCCCCACGCCCCAGGCTGTGGGCTCTGAGCAAAGCACTCAGGAGAGGCTGCTGCAGGTGTGGGCTCTGAGCTCCCCTCCCCTGCTTGGAAATAATAAGCACAGCTGTGGTGTCATTGTGAAACAAAAACTCATCTGGAAACCAAAATTAGACCCGAAGCAGAAAGATAAACTCTGCTGTAAGCACTTGTAAGAAAGAGTTTAAGAAAAGGATTAAAAGGGATTTGCTGGGTCCCTGGGGCAGAGGGGGCTCTGTCAGGCTGATCTCCAGCACTGTGCTCTGCCCAGTGGCTGTGGGGAGCAGAGCTGGGGGGCAGCAGGGAGAGGGAAGGATGCTTCTGGTGATTTGAGGTCAGGAAAGCAAAACAAGCAGAACAAAGTGCTTGTGACTTTAATCTAAAATGCCTTTATGTTCTTGGGGAGCACAGCTTGTGTTCCAGAGTTTGTGTCAGAATAAAACCACCACGAATGTTGCTGGGAATTTCCAGGATTGACATCACAGGGTCACAGGCAGGAGAACGCTGCAGGCAGGGCTGCATGAGCTGGTTAGCAATTATGTTAATGCTGGTAATTAAATTCATTTATTGGAAGCCATAGGAGCACCGCTGCCACGAGCACTGCCAGCACTGCGCTGTGCCCATCTCCATCCCGAGCAGCACAGCCCTGGGATGGCACAGCACTGCTTGGGAGTTACATTGCATTCAGAACAAGTGTAGCCTGAGCAAAATTACACTGAGAGAATGCAAATGAGCTGCAGTTCCTTTTCGTTTTCCCCTCCAGCTGCAGTCATTCTGTTGCTGGTGGACTTATGCAGTTGGGCTGCACATTTTAATTGTCGTTTACGCACACGCACTGTCACATCCAGGGACTAAAAATGTATTTCTGTATTGCATCCTAATCTGAACCACAGCAGAAAAACAGTCAGGATGTGTGGTTTGGTTCCAGCTCCATTTTGATCTGCCCTTAGAGTGGCTGAGGGGAGAGGACTGCACATATCTGAGGTGCCTCACTGCCTTTCTTCCCCTTCCCTTTCCCCTCCCTCTTCCCCTTCCCCTTCCCTTTCCTTTCCCCATCTTCTTTCTCTTCTCCTTCTCCTTCTCCTTCTCCTTCTCCTTCTCCTTCTCCTTCTCCTTCTCCTTCTCCTTCTCCTTCTCCTTCTCCTTCTCCTTCTCTTTCCTCTTCCCCTTCCCCTTCCCTTTCCCTTCCTCTCCCTTTCCCTTTTCCTTTTCCTTCCCATTCTTCTCCTCTTTCCACTTTCCCTTCCTTTTCCATTTCCTTTTCCCC